TTTTTCTTTCATGGGGCCCTTTTTTGCCAAGGTCTTGGTTTTTTTTTTTTTTTTTTTTTTTTTTTTTTGATAGAACCAAATCCTTTTCACATCAGATTTGGCACAAGCAGAATTATATTGCCAGTGGATTAGCCTACAATTTATTTTGTAACTGTAGGTATCCATACTTTCTGAATGGAAAAGAAACATTCTAGTAGAAACTGATTTGATAAATTATACTAATTGTCAAGTAGTTTCTTGGCCCATTTGTATCTTTTCTATTCACTTTGAAATACTGATGTCTTAAGTCTTCTGTTTTTTCCTCCAAACTGAAATGGAGATGGTCTTTTTTGCTAATGACCCTTCAGTTATGGACTTTGCCACAGCACTTAGCAAATCTGGCCACAGCCCTGGCCTTTGACCCCTGGCCTTCCTAAAACACAGGGCCCATTCAACACACAAATGCACTGGCTGCTACTATAACTAACATCTTGCAGATTTCACAGTACAAAGGCAGTGTTGCTTTTTGTTCTTGGGTTTAAAATAACTTGTACTTCAGTTAAAATAACTAGATTAATGGCCAAAAGCCAGTATAGAAATGGATTTTCCATGTTGAAAGGGGCCAACATTTCTGTAGCTAACCCTAAATAACAAAGAACTAAACTACACATGTTGAACTTTTCCAGTTTAAGAACTCCTGTTTTCTTCAAAGCTGGTTGCTTAAAAATCTATGAATTATTTAGTGATACTCATTTCTTAGCCTTTTAGCTTAGACTATGTATGTAGATAGTAACATATGTATGATGTTCAATGTTCATCATAATATGTTAAGAGTTATTAAGTAGTTTAAGAATTATATTTTAAAAAAATCAAATTATGAGCCAAGTGTAGTGATGCACACCTTTACTCCCAGCTCTTGAGAAACAGAGGTAGACAGATCTCAGAGTTCAAAGCTAGCCTAGTTTACATAGAGGCCAGCCAAGGCTACATGAAGAGACCCTGTCTTAAAAAGAAAAAAAAAAAATCAATAAATTATGGGGCCATGGGAAATAGCTCAGTTGGAAAAGTGCTTGTTCATAATGAGGATCTAAGTTTGATCCCCAGCACCGGCATAAAAACCTGGAATGGGCCAGGCGTTGGTGGCGCACGCCTTTAATCCCAGCACTCGGGAGGCAGAGGCAGGTGGATCTCTGTGAGTTTGAGACCCGCCTGGTCTACAAGAGCTAGTTCCAGGACAGCCTCCAAAGCCACAGAGAAACCTTTTCTCAGAAAAAAAAAAAAAAAAAAAAAAAAAAAAAAAAAAAAAAAAAACTGGAATGGTTGTGTGTGGTTATAACACCAATATTCACCAATTGTTAGAGACAAGTGGATGCTTAGGGCTTGCTGGGCAGCTATCCTTCCTAATAGACAAGTCCTGGGTTCCAGTAAGAGACCTAGTCTCAAGAAACAAAGAGATAGCTCTTGAGGAAAGATATGTAAGGTTGACCACTAGCCTCCACATGCATACACACACACACACACACACACACACACACACACACAATAAATAAATAATGTAAAATTTTAAAGTAGTTTCAGACATGTGGGGCACAGATACACCTCTCACACATCATTCAGTTTTGGAGAATAATCTCTAGCAAAAAGGAAGTAGACATTGAGACTGAGAGCTTTTGTTTATTTTCAAGACAGGATCAGCATCTCTCTGTGTATCCCTGGCTGGCCTGGAACTCACTCTGTAGACCAGGCTTGCCTCAAACTCAGAGATCTGCCTGCCTCTGCATCCCCAGTGCTGGGATTAAAGGTATACACCACCAACGAGGTAAGGCTGAGGGGAGAGGACAGAGAATCCTTTGGAGGAGGTTTCAGAAGGGGAAAATGAGATGAGAGATCAGCTGGCTATTCTGCATGTTTGAGAAATAAAATTGGTAGCCCTGTGCTTGATCTGACACTACATGGGAAAGGACTTAAGGTGGATATGGAGAACCAAGAGGGAAGAGGAACAAGCCAATTATTAATTCCAGGAAAAAACAAAATGGCATTACTAAGAAAGGAAGTGTGATCTTTAGTACATTCCTAGAATTGTAGTAACCAATATTTGTAGTCACAATAAAAACAATTGATGGACCAGAAAGTTGTCAATTACATAGGAGGGATGGGGAGTATGATAGGTAAGTAGGTCCTCCCAAGCTATAAGAGGGAGCCAGAAGTTACTGTCTCAAATTGAAGATGAGTGAATAGTCAAAATGGTGGTAATAAAAGGGAAAGTAACCATGTGATTGGAAGCATTCTTGAGTGTAATAGCAAGGATGCAGAAAGCATGGGGTGTGGGCTTTTTAATTGTGATTTTTATCACTATTCAATTACTATACATTGTCATTCATGCTCTTTTCTCAGTTACTAATGAAGAGCCTTTTTTCCTCTAGAAAATGTGAAGCATCTAACTCATTGAGTGTTGGCTCATTTTACATCTTTTATCATTTGGTCACCTACAGATACTATATACATAGGAGAAGGGGTGAGGGGATCCATTTGGAATGACGAATATAGAGTAACTTGTTGATCCAAGATGGAGCAGATATCTATAGTCACTATATGTTAATGTGTTCTTGGTCATAAAGCCAGCACCCTGGGAGTGGCTTGTCATGTGTGCTGTACAGGTTTAGGCAAAATGAAAGCAAGATTGCCCTGAAGTTTCTAAATACTTGATAACTAAAACATTACCCTTAATTATAAATTAAATTGAGGTAGCTGCTCAAGCAAACTATTTCATAATGCTAGAGTTACAGTCATGAACAGTCTACTTGTACCAGAGAGAATTCTTTGGCCTCCAGGCTCACAGCCCCCAAGGGATAAAGTAAGAGATGTGAATGTCTGCTGCTGGCTTCATTTATAGCAGATTGTTGACAGCCCTTGGGCAACTGAAAGTTTCTGGGTTATCTCCACCTTGCTGCCTGTTCCGTCAAGTCAGAGAATCAATTTCATTGATATTTTTACATTTGCATTATTTGTAGGCTAAGGATTTGGCTCAGTTAGCATATGTGAAGCACTAGGTTTGATCCCCCAAACTGTGTTAACCAGGCATAGTGGTACACACTTGTAATTCTAGTACTTGAGAGCTGAAAGCAGGAGGGCCAGAAGTTCAAGATTGTCTTCAGATCCGAAACAAGTTCAGGACAGCCTGGGATTCCTGAAACCTTGTCTGAAAAAGGCAGGGGGTGGGGGCATTTGAGACTTTATTGTCTGTACATTGTATTATATAGGAATTCTAGGCTTGTAGTGATAGAATCTAGATATTCCTCCCTCTTTGTTTATTAATTTGTTTTGTGTGTTTGTTTGTCAGAATGTTATGGAACAATTCAATCCTGGCCTACGAAACTTAATAAACCTAGGAAAAAATTATGAAAAAGCGGTGAATGGTAAGTCTTTTGATTTTTTTTCTAAATTAATGTAAAGTGCATATGAAATCTGCTAATATTTTATTCATCTTTAAATACTTAACATTACATTTTTAAATGTCTTTAAATGGATTTTTAAATAATTTATCTACAGGATTTTTGCAGTGGCAGAGCAGGATAGTACTAATGTTTTTGAAGTGAGTTAACTGAGTAATTGTAAAGGTACTATAAGTAACATATTTTTACTCTAAAATTGTGCTTTCTGGTATACAAAATTAGGCTTTAATATCATTTCCATGACTTTTCTAAACCAAATCTTTGTGAACTAATAATTTATACTGAAAATATTTGAAAATGGCCAGATGTGGTGGCACACACCTCTAATCCCAGCACTTGGGAGGCAAAGGCAGGTGGATCTCTGTGAGTTCTAGGCCAGTCTGGTCCACATATAAGATCAGCCAGGGCTACAAAACAACATTTGAACATTAGTGTCCTGCTATGTGAGAATCATTCATTTAGCTGAATAGAAAAACTTCTTGCCTTTTGACAGATTCTTTTGTTTTGAGACAGAATCTCACTTTATAACACAGGTTAGCCAGCCTTTGAACTCAAGCAATCCCCCTTCCCACCCTTATAAGTGCCAGGGTAACAACTATGAGACACTATAACACCTTGCTAATATATCTCTTTTTTTTTTGTAGTAACATGAAAATTTGTTTTGTTTTGTTCTTTTGGTTTCTCTGTGTAGCCCTAGCTGTCCTGGAACTACCTCTGTACATCAGGCCGGTCTCGAAGTCATAGAGATCCACCTGCCTCTGCCTCCCAAGTGCTGGGATTAAAGGTATGCACCAACACTGCCCAGCAAAAAAATAATATTTTTAACCTCAATGAAAGAACATTTACCTTAAAGGATGCCTTTATTGAAGCTGAATTTGAAGCCAGACCCAGTGGCGTAAGTCTATAATCCCAGGTACTTGGGAGTCTGAGGTAAAAGGATTACAACTTCTGGGCTAGCCTGGGAAACTTATCAAGAGCTTGTCTCTGAGACAGAGAGAGCAAGAAAGGAAGGAAGGAAGGTAAGAGAGAGAGAGAGAGAGAGAGAGAGAGAGGAGGAGGAGGAGAGATTTCAGGTAAGCAACCAGCTAGCTGGGGTGTACCTGCAGGACCATGTGCAAGGTGGAGAAGTTCTTGTCCAACATGAATGAGGCCCTAGTTTCAATCCCCAACAATTATATAAATAAGTAAATTCAACCATAGATATTTGCTTCTCTTTTGGGACCCAGGCTGTTAGCTATCTTGAAAAGGTTTTCGCTGAGAAGGATAATAAGAGCTACTCCTGAACTCCTACTACAAGTGAATACTATTAGAATACATTGATGTTGGGTGGTGGTGGTGGTGGTAGTGGTGGTGCACGTCTTTAGTTCCAGCACTCGGGAGGTAGAGGCAGGTGGATCTCTGTGAGTTCAAGGCCAGCCTGGTCTACAAAGTTAGTTGCACAACAGCCCTGTCTTGAAAAACCAAAAAAAAAAAGTAGAATACATTGATAACCACCCTAAAACGTGGTCCAACAAGACAGTGTACTGCCCAGGCCCTAAGCTGTGGATGGCAAGAAACATGGCATGGCTATGCATTTTTTACCTGCAGCTTTCAATACCAGGAAATAGAACAGGTCTGGGATCTTGCTTCTCTTCCCAACAATGTCTGTGCCTTCTACAGGCTCCCTTCCTCCTCTGAGAGCGAGAGGCTGGACTTAACCACTGTCCCTCGGTGACTGTTTAATCACTGGGCCACAAAGTCAACACTGTCCTCATAGGAAAATCACTATGACCTGTAGAACACTTTTTACTATGTAGCCTGAACTACTTTCTGAGGCAGTTATAAACTAAGTGAGCGCTTGTAGCTTTACTTCATATTTACAAGACTTGTCCCCACAGGGTTCTTGCCACTTTACCACCTTTCAGAGATGATTCTGTACTTGATAAGTATTCCCAGAACTTCTGCAGGCCATCTGGATATAGTTTTGCTGAAGCCACTGATAATTTTAGATACATTTATAAAGTCCTTGGTAAGAATTTGGAGTATAGATGCCAATGTCAGCCAAAAGTGCAGTCACTAGATTATAAAGGTGGAGTGACATGTGAGTTGCTGAGAGAGAGATCAGGGATTTGAGCAGTAGTGATTGGTGTGGACTAGAGCAGACAGGAATCTTGCAAGAGCTTGAGCTAACTAACAAATAGGAGATATCAGCCCCATAGATACTGCTGCAAGCAGAAAAAAAAAAAAAAAATGAGCCCTGTGCATCACACTAAACTGAGAAGTAGGACTAGACAGTGTCAGTTTAGCCATGCATTGCAGTGTAGCACCAGGCACCTACTATTGCACAAAGTACTTCAGCTACACAAAGACTTGGTGGCTTAAGACACCACTTTCTATTGTCCCTGTAAAGGCAAGGTAGCTCTCAGAAGTCTCAGGGTTCACTCCACTCTGTCCTTGGGTATCCTTTCTCCATCAAAACCACACTGGGCCCTTACTATAGCAGCACTAGCCTTAAAGGCTTAACATTTACTAGGTTCCTGTGTAACCCATGCTTATTGGTACTACATTGATCAAAGCAAGTTCCATGACCCAGTGTCCCAGGAGACAGACAGGAAATCTGGAGGGTTGTAGTTCATTGAAACTATTACTATAAAAATCTATCATGAGCTTGTGGAATATGGACTTGGGGGAGATCCATGGAGGCTTTAGTAGAACAGTTAACCCAATGAAACTGTATTTTAAGAAAAATACTATCAGCCAGGCACAGCACATGCCTTTAATCCAGACACTTAGGTACCAGAGGCAGGTGGATCTCTGTGAATTCAAAGCCAACCTGGTCTAGTTGTTCCAAGGACCCCCCAGAGCTGCAGTCACTAAAATAGAATTTATAGGTTTCCTGAAATAGTAAGAATCAGAAACTCACAAAGGGGGGACAAAGTTATCAAAATACTATTTTATTCTTTATTAGCTCTGGATAAGTTACATGGTTTTAAGTTAACTTAGCTTTATTATAAGAGCAAAACTAATGTGAAAAGGCAAAAATAAATAAATAAAAGCAAAGCTACTTTGAAAGACTGAAAAGATTACATGGTTTTAAGTATAAGCTAATGAAAACAATCTCAATTTAATGTGTGGTTGTAAACCAGAAATTTTAAATGTTGTGTAATCCTGAATGCAGCTCTCCCACTACTGTGCTCTTCAGTTTATCAGTACTTTGCAACTTAAACCTCTCATTCCAACATCATCTGTTCACTTGACATTTCATTGGCAACACATTTGTTTTTAGGTGGAGTTGCTTTTACTTCGGTTCTAGCTAACATAGTGATTGAGAGCTGAGGAAGTGAAGTCCCTCAGCAGGAGCTGTGTACACTGTGGCTGACTCACATTGACCTTGGGGACAGCCTGAAATGTCTCCACTCCACTCCCTTTAGCAAAAGAAGCTGATAATGCTACCCACCCATATCTTGGCGTTGTCAGTAGATTAGCTAAGTAATGACTGAAAACAACCTATATAAATAGTCTCTAATTGTGGATTACACTGTAAGTTCTTCTCCAGTTTTATAAAATAGTAGTACAGGAGAACATTGCACTTCTTAAACTTACATACAGATACACTAAAAGCTTTAACTTATATTTTTAGAAGCTATAGTAAATGCTGAAATATAAAAAATTTGGGGGTAGGAATTTGGGCTTCAGCTAAACCTATACATGATGAATTATCTGATCTTTTGTAATACTTCCCCATAAAAATCTACCTTTTAGGTCTGGTGATGTAGCTTAGTGGCAAAGTGCTTCCTTAGCATGTGAGAATTAAAAATACAAATAGGGGCTGGAGACATGGCTCAGCAATTAAGAGCACTTGCTGGTCTTGCAGAGGACCTGGGTTCTGTTCACATCACCAGCAGGCAGCTCAAAATTGCATAGAGCTCCAGCTCCAGCTCCAGGGGATCCAGTGTTTTCTGGCCTCTTCAGTTACCCACATATAGATGGCATGTTCATACACAGAAATACACATACATATAATTTATTTTATCTTAAAAAACAAACAACTGGGCATTGGTGGCACATGCCTTTAATCCCAGCACTTGGGAGGCAGAGGCAGGCGGATCTCTGTGAGTTCGAGGCCAACCTGGATTCCAGAGCGAGTGCCAGGATAGGCTCCAACCCCTTTTAAAAAAAAAAAAAAAAAAAAAAAAAAAAAAAAAAAAAAAACCAGAGAGACTGGGAAGATGGCTTAGCCGGTAAAGTGCTTGTCTCAAGTATGAGAACCTGAGTTTAGTCTTCACCATCTATATAAAAATATTAGGTATGGTGGCACAGGCTTATAATTCCAACACTGAGGAGGCAGAAAGACAGGCAGATCACTGGGACGCATTGCTCAGCCAGTCTAGCCTAATTGGTTAGCTCCAGGCCAGTGAGAAACCCTATCTCAAAGGAGGTGTGGACCATGTTCCTGAGGATGGCACCATGGTTGTCTTCTATCTTCCAAAATGCATTCATGAGTGTATGTTGACATACACACAATAAATAACAACCTACTTTTTAGCCTGGCCTGGTGGCATAGGGTTGTAATCCCAGCTACTAGGAAGGATAAAGCCAGGAGGATTATATGACCAAGGGTAACCTTGTAAACTTAGCTGAGACCCTGTCTCAAAATGAAAAATACAATAAAAGAACTGAGGCTGTATCTCAGTGGTAAAGCACATACTGTTCTATGGGTAAAGAGAATAGGCCAGAGGCCCTTGTAGTTCCAAGTCTCCATGATCTCTGGAGTTCCAGGAAAAACTAATTTCTGTGTATGAAGGTGGTCTCTGAGTTTAGGGGAAGGGTGGAGATTTTTTTCCTCCAAAATCACACTGGCTTTGGCTGGATCTTGTTGAAATGCTTGCCTGTCATACACCATTCTCAATCTGAATTGCCTGTAAAGCAAAAGAAGCCAGGCTGCCATTTGTCTGTCCCATGCTGACTTTATTAGAGAACTTTACAAAATGGACAGCCTCCATCTGCATCCTTTATCCAAACACCCTTCAGGGTCAGTTTGAAGGAGAAAACAGTATAAGTTTATTATTATTATTGTTGTTGTTGTTATTATTATTATTATTTGTTTTTTTGAGACAGGGTTTCTCAGTGTAGCCCTAGCTGTCCCATAACCTGCGCTTGTATACAGGGCTGGTCTCCAACTCACAGAGATCCGCCTGCCTCTGCCTCTAAGTGCTAGGATTAAAGCCATGCACCACCACCACCCAGCTAAATGTAATTATTTTAAATTGTGTATGTGTGTATGAGAGAGAGTTCCCACAGAGGCTACAGACATTGGATTCCCCATAGCTTGAGTTATGAGCTTCCCAACATGGGTGCTGGAAACTGAACATGGGTCCTCTGTGAGAATAGTATGCACTCTTAACTGCTAAGCCATTTCTCTCTTAAAAAATATTATTTATTTATTTAATTAGAGAAACATTTTTAGGATGATGAGAACCTAGCTTCTATTGCAATAAAACCTTTGCTTGTTTCTACTGGAAGGAAAAGAAGGAGAATTTATGGTTATTTTTTTCCTTTAGATAAGTCTGTAATTTTTAGAATGCTAATGATTTTCAAATGTAGTTTTTTTGTTTTTTTGTTTGTTTGTTTGTTTTTACCCCAGTAGCAAATATGTTGGTTAGTTGTGACCCAGATTGTCTTTTTATGGTATTAGGGATTGAACCCAGAGCATAGTGCATGCTAGGCAAGCACTCTGCACTGAGCCATGCCCTCAGCCTCTCTCCAGGGAGTGTAGGCAACTGCTCTTCCTATCTTCAGCCCATTTATTTTTATTTTGAGATAGAGTCCCACCAAGTTCCCCAGGCTGGCCTTGAACTCACTCTGAAGCCTAGAGGGACTTTGAATTCTTCATGCCTCAGTCTTCTGAGTAGCTGAGATTATAGGACTATACCACTGGAGCTGGCTCTTTTCTAAGAGAACAATAAAATGTGCTTTCATGAGACAGGTTTCTAGGCCACTGCACCCAAGACTCCTTGGGTAATGACATGACTGACCTGTATATATCCCAAAATGTATCTGTTCTCAGTGTCAGTTTGATGTCCTGGAACTGATTCAGAAGCAGGCAGGGCCTTGTGAACTTCACCTGCTCAAACAGCCTTGTGTCCAGAACTTCTTGTAGCCAGAGGCACACTGGGATGTTGAACCTGTGTTACTTAACACCTGTCCTTGTCTGAGTAATGATTTTGTGTGTCACATTTCTGTCTAGCTATGATTCTAGCAGGAAAAGCCTACTACGATGGAGTGGCCAAGATTGGAGAGATTGCCACTGGGTCTCCTGTGTCAACAGAGCTGGGTGAGTTGACCAATAGTTTTTTACAAAAACCTAGCCTGCTGTCCTAGGAGTTTGTCAGGTGGCTCAGATCAAGAACACAAAAGGGAACTGGTTGGGCACTGTAGTTTGAGTTTACCCTGGCTCATGAAAATGGAGAGGTTTTTTTGGAGGGCAGGCCAAGCCTAGAGGGGCCTAGGGGTTGGGTAGAGGCCCCTTCCCAGGCCTCTTAGGAACTCTGCTCCTGCCTGCGTTCTGGCCTGTCACTTCACATCCTTGAAGTTCCAACGTGAAGAACTGTGACCTACATTTTGAACCAAGGTGGGTGAGACAGGCCTGTGACCAGGCCAAGTGCTTCCGTTGACTCATCTTGTGGAAAATGACTCCTTGACTCCTTTATGCTGTACTCTTGGCTCCCTCTGCCTCCACAGTTGCCTTTGGTTGTGATTTTTCCGGTTTTGCTGGTATGAATGGATCCCCTGTGCAGGCAAGGAGGGTAGCCACACCCTGGGCAGCCCCCACCACAGCCAAGGGAAGCTGGGCTTCTATTTACAGAGCTATGCCACTGCACTGCGGTCATCTCCTGCAGGGCAGGGCCACTTTGCCAATAGACCCACATGCCACTCTCATCTTTAAAATGTATGGACTATGTTTTATTGTGGATGGTAAGAATTCTGCTTTAAGGATTCTGAAAAACATAGTGGGGTGTGTGTGTGTGTGTGTTTAAAGAGTAACATGTCTATCTCTACTCAGTATCCACTAGTCTTTGAGGCTTTTCAGACTTTCCTGAGAAACTCACTGACCCCATTCAAAGGTTAGAACAAGCTAGAGTCTTGATGCTGGTGGCAGGGTTTGGGACATGCTGGGTTCATGTTCTCCGACTGCTTTATGCCAAAAAAAAGTTGATGAAGCAGTAAACAAAAGCCACAGTGTACTTCTGCAGTGATGTTATTGATGAGTAGCAATGCTGCCATGTTTGATAGAATGGATCACATATCATTTTGAAACCCCAGCTCGTGTGCTGTTTGTATTGTGACTTCCCAGTGTCAAGATGATCAGTAGCAACTCTGAAGCACCATCAGTTCAATGACATGGAGCCTGCAATTCGTAGCAGATAGCAATATTTTAGATATTTGGGGTTCCAGAAACAGCTGAGATGATAATAGGGTTCCAAAAATAAGCTTAAATTAAAAAGAAGCATCCCATTGTGCCAGGCATCAGGGGGAAAATAAAAGTATAGCCTTCACATTAAGACATATGGTGCTCTGACTCACCACCATTCAGCTTGCCATTTTAATGTTTTATGGGTCTTGCCACTGTTTAAATAAGACTTCTGTTCCACACCTTACTTTATTCAGCTGCAAGTTCATAACATTGAATCAACTATTTCCACAGTAACAGTGTTGTTATAAACACTGCCTTGAAACTCCAGTTTCAATGGGGAAAGTATGTTGTGAACGAGGAGGTTCCTTCTACAAAATGGAAGTAAAGTTCCCAAGTTTTATTTTGTTTCAAGATGTCTATTTGCTTCTGTCCACTGTCTCAGAGTTACTAGTTTTTGCCCATTTATGGCTTTTTCCCTATATAAAAAGTTCACCTTGGTAAGCCTTGCTTTGGTAGCACCTAATAATAACTACTTTTGACTCACATAATTTTTCTTCTGGTATTGTTTAAAATACCATACTGTATCCATTTAAAATCCCACTATGGAAGAGTAACAGAAAATTCACATATTTTCAAAAAGTAGAAGAGGAAGGAGGAGGAGAAAGAAGGGCTAGAGAAATGTGAACAAAGCATTTGGCACACACGCCTGAGGACGTGATTTCAGACCCTAGCCCTCTGTAGAAGCAGAGTATGGCAGCACAGCCTACAATACCATCACTGGGGAGGCAGAGACAGGCGTCTCAGGCAGTCTCCCCAAATAGGTGAACTCCAGGATTCATTGAGAGACCCTAGCTAAATAAATAAATAAATAAATAAAGTGGAAAAGCTAGTCATAAAGACACATGATCCCCCACAGATATGCACACATGTTCACAGGTACCTATACACACCCTCTCCTCCCCCCCCCACAAAAGAAAATAAATAACCAAAAATAGATTGTTTCCTTTGTTTTCCCCCAATATTTTTGTGTAGTTATAGTCTTTGGGTGCTGGTACTCATAACCTTATGAGTACTCATAACCTTTGTTTAAGGCTATTGTAGTTTAGTTTCTGTTGTGATAAAACACCCTGACCAAAAGCAACTTGGGAAGGAAAGAATATATTTTGTTTATACTTCCATATCATAGTTCATCATCAAAAGCAGTTAGGGCAGAAGCTCAAACAAGGCAGGAACCTGGAGACAGGAGTTGATACAGAGTTGTTCACTGCCTTGCTCAGCTTAATTTCTTATACTACCAGAGACCACCAGTCCAGGAATGACACCATCTGCAGTGAGCTGAATCTTCCCACATTAATCATCAATGAAGAAAATGTACCACAGGCTTGCCCACAGGCCAACCTAGTTGGGGCATTTTCTCAATTGAAGTACCTTCTTTCCAGATAACTCTAGCCTGTGTCAGGTTGACATAAAACTAGGCAGCACAGAGACTAAGGAGAAGCCAGGCATGTGTTTGTAATCCCAGCAACCTTGAAAGCCAAAGCAAAAGGATCACAAAGTAAACCTGGGTTATATAGTGCAGCTGTCTCCAAAACAAGGAGAAGGACTGGGGCTGGCAGGATGGCTTAGCAATAAAGGTGCTTGCTGCTGGCTGACAGCCTGAGTTAAATTCCAGGGGCCCTATGGTAGGAGGAGAGAACTGACTCCTGAAGGTTGTTCTTTGACCTCCAGGTGTTCTGCGGTCTGTACACATGGGTTGACTGCGCGTGCGCGCGCGCACACACACACACACACACACACTCTCTTAATGCAAATTTAGAAAAACTTTAAATGAAGAACTGGAATACAGCTAAAGGGTACAGTATTTGGCTAGTACACAGACAGCCCTGAGTTCCATCCCAGCACAAAGACTATAGTGAGAACATGGATCATTTCAAGTTTTTCATTCAGTGTGTCTTTTGAATTAACTTTTGTTGGTAAAGATGGAGTGGATTTTTAGCTATAGATGGTGGTTCCATTTAGGCAATCCCACTTGGCATCAGTTCATCTGTTGCTATGTGAATTTAGTATGTTTTTGCTCAAACATAACAAGATATCTCGCTTACAGTGATTTAAGCAATAGGCATATTTATTATTCCATGTAAGGCCAGGAGCAGCAAGTTCCTGATTAGTTAATCATCACCAAGGACTCAGATTCCATCTCTTTTTCTTGCCTTCATACCCATTTCCTCATGGCACCAAGATGGCTACCAATCTGATTATCACATTTGTCTTCTCGTTGTCTGCAAATACAGGAAGTAAAATGTCTTCTCAGGTGTGTCCTTTTTATAAAGGAGGAATCCTTGCCCAGAAGCTTCAGCATACATCCCTCCATGTTCTATAACCCAGGTTAAGTCACACTCATCCGTGTCCAGCTGCCAGGAAATATTCCTTGGTGTGGCTAGCCAAGGACTGCAGAGGAGAGGGAGGGCACAGCTGTTAGGAGACAGCCCTAACATCAGGCATCTCTGGCATTGATGATCTGGTTTCAGTGGTTCTGGGTGAAGGGGAAGACATTACACAAATGTTTCCTGCAGACATTTGTGATGCCTCTGCGTTTTGCATGTGTCTCTGATTGGAATGAGCTGGTGTGCATTTGCCCAGCATTTGTGTATGTCAGACCTTGTCAGCTGTTCTCCTAGCCCCACTGCACTTTTTTCCAGAAGATCACAGCTGTCCTTCCCAATCTGCTTCTGTTTAGAGACAAGAATCTAAGCAGGAAGGAAGAAAGGCATTGGGGATTTTTTATTTCTTCCACCTACAGAGTTTTATTGCTCACCTTTGAATGTCTTGGACCATGGACTCCAGGGTATTTTTCCTGTGTCTGCCTCCTTTCTTCTACTCAGTAGCTGCCTTCCTGTGTGATTCCTGAAGCCTTGTGATTGACAATTAAGGGAATAGATAAAAGTTAGAAATATCACCCATAAGGTTACTACTGTGTACAACTATCTACCAATACCATTTGCCTGTACAGTCTCTTCTAGCAAGTATGCTGTTAGATACTATGCCTGCTTTTGTCTAGCCCACTTTTCCCAATGAGAAATAGAAGACCTGTCTCCAGTCACATTGTAGAATAGCCCACCCTAAGTACTTGCTGTGAGCTGGGCCCATGTCCAACATTTCACACACAGTTACCAAATGTGATGGACATAGGTGCCTTCCATCTTCCATGGGCAAGGCTAGAGGTAAGGGGACTTGTCTCAAATCACTCAATTAGTTGGGAGTCTGAATTTAGAATCTTTAGTTATTTTCCTTTGTACTGGCACTTAGGCATGTGGGAGGGGAAAGTGCCAGCCCATGAGCCACTGAATTCTCAACCATAGGGGCCTTTTCGGAAAAGAGGTGAAGCCAAGTATGGTGGCACATGCCTGTGATCCCAGCACTCAGGATCCTGAGTTCAAGGATAGTCTGAGCTACACAGTCACACCCTAACTCAAAAGGGGTGAGGAATAGGCTGGCAAGATGAACTTATTACCATCAAGCCTGAAGACTTGAGTTTGTTCCCTGGAACCCACATGGTAGAAGAAGAGAACCAATTCCTGCAAATTGTTTTTTGACCATTATATGCATACAAACTGTGACAAGTACTGCCTGTCCTCCAACCCCTCAATTTTTTATGTAATTTTAAAATTTAAAAAGAGAGAGTGAGAAAGTTGTCAAAGTTAATATCAGGTCAAAGTTAATCAGAGCAGGCCTGACCAGTGTATTTAGTGGGACCGGTTCCCCTTGGAAAGGATGGTTTCCCTCAGATCTATCTGTTAATAATAGGAGTAAAGAAGTTAGTGATATGTAAATAACAGGTAAATCACACATGCACATGAGCATACATGCATGCATACACACAGTTCCTTTTATTGTCCACCCAAATTTGGATCTCATTAAAT